AAAAAAAAAACAAGGCACACACCCAAATCTCAACAAGAAGAAATTGAATTCTATGAATCTGGAGTTGCATTTAGAGACTATGAAAGTTGCTAACTTGGAAATTACTAGAAAATCCAACCTCCTCCTCCCCCCAACCAAGAAATAAAAGCAAATCAAAGAAAAAAATGACAAATTTATGCAAAATTCAGCTATAATCCAATAAACCAGGCACACACCGAAAAACGCAACAGAAGGAAATTGAATTCTATGAATCTAGGGTCCCATTTAAACACTATAAAATTGCTAACTTGCGAATTACTTCAGAATCCCAACAAAAGAGAACAAATCAAAAGAAAAAAAGATGACATTTTTCTTGCAAATTAAGCTAAAATCCAATAAAACCATAAAACAAGTCACCAATTAGGCAAAATTCAGCTAAAATCAAATCTGGGGTTTCATTTCAAAACTAATTATAAACACAAAAAGTAGCAAAAAGAGAGTTCCAAAGAAATGTACCTAAAGAATTTGCTTCTCTGGGTCAGTGAAACAAACCGTAGCTCTCTCTAAAAATTTATCCAGATGAATATAAAGCAAGAAAAAAATGATCTTTTTTCACTTCCAATGTATATATCTGCAGTTATATGATAGCGATGTATGCTCTTATAAATCATGGTATGTCGGCCAAGAAGGTTTGTGCCATACCTTTGGTATGATTGTAAAAGATTGTTAGTATAAGGAGGTACAGACCCACGCGCGCAAATATCAAGATTAAGGGACCCACGCGCGCAAATTTCAAGATTAAGGGACCCACGCGCGCAAAGTTTTAATTTCTTTTTATTTTCAGAATAATAGTAAGAGATAATATCACTTTTGGCCGTTTATAAATTCTAGTTCTTGTCATATATGATTAAGATTAAGAATATTAAATAAATCCTCAATTTATTAGAATATGTGTTTTGGTCCATTTATATGGTATAGTTAAACTGCTTCTAAAGGAGTCATGGAGCAGTAGAAAATTTAATTTTTTCTGTAACTTATAAGTTACGGGTTCGAGCTGTGGAAGCAACTATTAAAGCTCGCATTAGAGTATAAGGAATACTTTGGGGTGCGACCCTTCCTTGGACCCTGGATGAATACGGAATACTTTGTGCTTCGAGTTGTACTTTTTTTATAATGCTTTTAGAATTATATAATTCTCAAACTTAACATAATATATGTATGATCAAATGATGTAATGATATATAACTCAAAATCTTTGAACATTCATAAACAAAGGGATCAAAAGTGCACATTTAATTAATTAAAGGTCAAATGTACTTATTCAGATTTCACAAGGAGCAAAATTCTAATTCTTCAATATTTGAGGAACTAAAAGTGCAAATGTTTCTGATAGAAAATCCCCCCCCCCCCCCCCCCCCTTTGGATAGAAATTCCTTTAATTGTTAACTAACTATGGAAAAAATTCGACAACTCTTTATAGAGTTATAGACCTCACTGGTTTTCTTGATTAGTTTAATGTCATTTTTTAATATTTTAAACTAAACGTAAAGAGTCCTTCGGATATGGGCAAAGTTAGGGAGAAATTCAAAAATAACCAGATTTACAAGTGGTCGTTCAAAAATAGCCTAGTTTCAAAAGTAATCGAAATTTAGCCACTTTTTATGTAAAGATAAATCTGAGCGAAAACACTGTTCAAAACCCGAAAAATACGCCAGTATATTATGCTGGAGTTCCAGCATAAGTATACTTGAACTCCAGCATATTATACTGGAGTTCCAGGATAAGTATGCTGGAACTCCAGCATAATATGATGGAGTTCCAGCATAAGTACACTAGAACTCCAGCATAATATACTGGAGTTCCAGCAAAGTATAATGGTCCAGTATAATATGCTGGAAGTTCATACACAAGTGCTCGAATCTCCAGTATATTATGCTGGAACTTTCCGTGTGTTAGAGTTCCAGCATAATATGCTGAAAGTTAATACACAGGTGCACCGAACTCCAGTATATTATGCTGGACCGGTCTCTGTTGCAGCAAAATAGTGGCTATTTTTCATTGACTTGATAAACGCTGGCTATTTTTGAATGACCAGTCCGAAAACTGGCTAGACCGTGCTATTTTAACGCAAAGTTACATTGGTGGGAAGGTTCAATTGTATTCGTCCATTGTGTAGATCGGGTGTAAAAGTATTGCATACATGGAATTTAAGTTTTACGCATTAACGGTTTAAATAATTCGGTCCAACAAAACCATCATGGTACACTAAGTTCTCGCTATACATGGGGTCCGGGGAAGGGCCGAACCACAAAGGTGTATTATACTCAACCTTACTCTGTATTTTTGTAAGAGGTTATTTCCATGGCTCAAACCCGGACCTCTTGGTCACATGGCAACAACCTTACCTATTACACCAAGACTCAATTTGGTCACTTATATTATATAAGAAAATTACTAGTAGTAAATATAATTCGGTCACTTATATAAGAAAATTACTAGTAGTGAATATCTATTATAAACATCAATTATTCCTCAGATTTACCTAAAAAAAATGTATGAATGCCGAGAATGATTTACAAAATTTTCGGCAATATTTGCACATTACAAGTTCTTTTTAATTCTTTTTGCTGTCTAATGTCTATAGCACTTTTCCGCTTAATGAGAGTGATTGATAGATTTTTCAAAAATAAAACGGACTAGATCCATTTCATCTCAAATTTAGATGCTTAAATATTCAGAAACTAGAAACGTACTAAGTTTGATGATCAGGACTAGAATATGATACTCTTATGATACCTTTTTTAATTTCCTCCAGCATGTAGGCTGTAGCCAATGAGAGAAGGTTATAAGCAGAAGCAGGAGAAAGAAAAAAAAAGGAATGAGACACAAACACAGAGGAATTCATCATTTTCATATATCAACTCAAAATGTTTAAATAACGACAAAAAATGAGTACAAAATTTGCCTACTACATAGATTTCCTCAGTTCTCGTGAAGAGCCTTCATCAAATATAGCCTACTAAAGCTCTGTCCAGCAACACTGCAAGCAATTCACAAACAAGTTCAGCTCACAAACCCTTTTTTTTGTTGTGTGTGTGTGTAAGTGGATTAGAGGGGGGGGGGGGGTTTAATGATGGTATCCGAGCCAGTTTGTGCGCACTCAAACATTCCATCGAGTAACTCTGTCCACCAAGCTTAGGCACATGAAAAGAAATCACCTTATGTCTATTGTGATTTAAACTTTGTTTTCAGCAGTTTTAACCTACATTATTGACCGTTAAGCGACACCCTTGGATGTGCCTTCCCTACAAACTAATCATGATTCTCTTTTTGCGGATACTACTCAAAACTCCAAATAAATACTCACACCTAATAGGTCCGGTTCCTTAAGAGGCTTTACTGAATAATTAAGGTGAAAACCATGTCCCAAAGAAAATGCTAGAGCAAATAAAATCAAACAGAAAATCTATGTCACCATATTTTTTTTATTGATACAAAAAAGGATATCGAGATATTTAGATTTTCTATTTGACCAGGAACTTCCAGAATACCTCACTCAGGATGATAGTAGAAGCATTTCAAATCCTTTTTGAAATTATAAAAGTTGACCAAGCTAAAATACTAGGGTATCTAAGGGGTTGGTAAATTGGCAATGCTAAGAAGTGAAGGCTGTGTTTTCCTCAGATGAACTGTCCCTATCTGCAATGCTTCAAACACGCATGTAATGATTATCACTTTAGATAGTAACTCACCCATTAATCTGGTTGCAGTAGTTTGCTATTTGATTAGTTATGAGAAAGCTGTCCAATCGTGAGGGTTCTGGGATTGGCTTAAAGACGGGATTAGAAGGATCTTCCTCCGGTAGCGGCTCTTCTCCAGCAGCTTTGCGTGACATGTTCTCAGCCCTGCAGAGAACAAAAACCAGAACACATATCAATTAGAAAGGACCTCTTGAAAAAGAAAACCAAATAAACGCTGACTTCACCAGGTATATATCATACCACAGCCAAGACATACAAAAGCTGAAACTTCTAATTAGCAAATTCGACTATCAAGCTGTCACAACTGGTAATGGCTTCCCCCTCACCACCAAATTAATGAACAAATAATATTTTCATCATCAAGAAAGTTCTGCCATAATATTTATGCAATTGCTGAAACATTCTATTGTAGACATATCAGTATCTCACCTCCTTATTTTTTTTAAACCAAGTTCCAGAAAATCAACGCAAACCATGATTCAGTTTAGGATAAAAGGCTGCTATGATGTACAAGTAGTCTTTTTTATGTATAAGCTGGCATGTGGAAGTGCATTCATCAATCTCCTACACTCTGTACTTCGAGGACACCTTTAGGACTTCTATGTGTAAAAGAGGCAAAAATTTACAAAAGCGTACATGGTAAAGGTTTTTCACACTTGGCTTTTGAGTTGATACAGCAACCCTGATACCTGACGTATGGGGCTAAAGGTCTTTCCGGACTTGGCTTTTGTATTGATATGGATCCACACGATTTTCTAAAGCATAAGATATTCTATATGCAATATATTGGATATGCTTTGGATATGGCAGTGACATATGTATTGGATATATCCAGCAACAAATTGTGCCTGTCATTTGTCTCAGTGTCAATGCTACATATATAACGGGCTCCACCATGACATACCAAATATCTTATGAAGTAATTTAATCCCACTAAAAGTTAAGCAGTTTCCACAAAACAACTGATCTTTGGAACATGTTTTTTTGTATTTTTGGCCTCAAATGGGTTATGCCACAAAACATAAAACAGGCACACCTGAGCTGGAGTCGATGGAGAATTGATAAGACCATCAAGAAGATCTGGTTGATGATCCCTGCAGTTATTTTTTGGTGTTTGTGGAATGAGAAGAATAGTAGATGCTTTGATGGGATCTCAACTCCAAATCACTCTCTCAAAGCTAGATGCCTACTCAATCTTTTTTGTTGGATTAAGTTAGCTACTGTAACTAGTTCTGCTCATCTTTTGGACTTTGTTAGCTCCCTTGTCTTAGATTGACATACTGTAAAGGGACTAGTTTTTCTTTCATTTTTGCACCTCAACTTTTGTAACTATGCATCTTCTTGATGCTTTTGTTAATATAACATCTTACTTCATCAAAAAAAAAAGTTAAGCAGTTGCAGAGAGGACCTCAATGATGCAATTTCCAATTACAATGTAAAACCCTTTACCCATGCTCCTAGTAAGAAATGGAATTAGAGCAATGAAAGGACACCCTCTCCAATTTTTAAGTTATATATCGGATGTTTCAGGTTCATTTTTACGAGGTCTAGTATCATCTGTAAGCTTATCATATCTGCTATTATGTTTCTTGTAAAGAAGGTGATCAAACATTTGAAAATGTCCCCAAAGAAAAAAGAAGGATACCTCCTCTTTTGAAGCCAAGCTTGCTGCTGAGCTTGTTGACGGGAAAGGTTCCGATAGTAAAATTGGAACTGCAAACAGGTAGCAGTGTTAGCAACATCCAAGCATATGACACACTCCACAGAAAGGGAAAAATTGACCCAGGAAGAGAAGGACCAACCTTTTGCTGTTCCATTGACAAGTCATCCATGCACTCAATCAAAAATTCCACGTTCCTTTCCAAATATGGATTGGTTGACAATTGCAGGCGCTCATAATCACACTGACACGCAAGGAAAAGGAAACCATTCAGTAACGATTTGTCAAGCTAGATCTGATCGTTTGAGAATTCTGCCAAGATAAATACAAAGCTACCTGAGTTACAGGTGTATCAGGTTCAAGTTCAGTCATGAAGGCACTTATGAGAGCTGAGTTTGAAACTTTAATCTGTTCAAAAGAGATGGCAAAATTGAAATGTGTTAGAAAACTGAAGCATGCTTTTTTCCTGTAACTTTTCTCTCACTAGAAACTACGAACATAACTCGTCTGAAGTTTTCATGGTTAGAGACTAAAACCAAGATGGCAGTACCACTTCATGTACTCAAAGAATCTTAAATTTATCTCATGAAAGAGTGTGGAAAGAAATACACGTCAGATATTGAGTTTAACTTTAAAACAGGACACCGATCAAAAAAGTAAAGAATCCTCTTGCTGGGCAAAAAGGGCTAATAATGAGAAATACATCTGAAGCAACAGTCTTTCAAACTAATACAAGCGCAAAATGGCATCGAGAAGCAAATAATGTTGCATTGTTGAAAATCTGCTCATACAAGGATAATAGTTACACATTGTTGAGAAAAGCAAAGTGGATAAGAAGCATACTGGTATCTCTTCAAAGATGTCGACCCATGAAAGATTCTTTTCCCTCAACCTAGAAATAAACCAATATCAGCAATATATTAAGTTTGCTATGTCCAAAAAAATTATCTTGGGGGAAAGGAGAGTGCAAGAATGAACATACTTCTCTCCAGTAAAGTTGTTACTCTTGTAGAGTTCCATGAAAGAATCGGAAAGCTTCAAGGCCTTCAATGCTAAGACGCCTTGGTCGGATCTTGATGGATCATAGACAATGCAAACACAACGTTTAATATTCTCCTGAAATACAAAACGTCATCGAGTCCAAGTACAAGGGATTAGTCACATAAACAAGACAATCAAAGAGCAACTGATCGAGCAACAACATAAGAAAATTCTACAAGAAAACTTATTTCTTTATAGAAATGAATATTCCATTCATCAAAGCATCAATGATGAGAAAATTTAAGTATACTTTTCCGTAGAGCAAGCTCGGAAGAAATTAAAACACCTTCTGTTATTCGTTTGAAACAATCCATGGATGTTCTGGTCAAGTTGTTGCTAGGAGTTGGCTTTCCGTAGCGGATTAACTCAAGCTCTTAAACAGGTAAAAGATTTTGTGTCGCACATATTGGGTTCAGATGATGATATGCGGAAAGTCTATCAAGAAACATGATCTCAAAATCGCACTTTCCTATGCTACTGAACTCCCTAGTACATAATAAGGAGAGATAAAGGCAAGAGAACCAGAAGGAGATTAGAGTAGGCACTATAGTCACACATTTATGTCCGGAAATTCATTTCTCTTTTACAGACTCTTGAATGATGCATAATCTACAGCACTTCCACAAACTTCTTGACTAAGCAGAAGAAATATAAACATTTCATGAGAGGAGACACGAACAAATATGAAGTTATTTTCGGTTTTTCTTGTAAATCATACACACACACACACACCTCCCAGTATTATCAGCACATGAACCAGAACAAGTGTAACTCCATTACCAATACACAATTTCAGAATCCAAAAAGAGAGATGAAGATGGACAGAATCATAAATGAGAAATGTACCTGGTAATTCATGAAGGTCTCTATCAATTCCACAGTTTGAAAAGAGCCAAATAAAGTTGATTGATACCTAGAATATAAATACCAAAGAAAAAATCATAGTCGGGCATATTACCAATAATCATATGACAAGGATAGAAATGGCAATAGGAATGATAATCTGCACCAGGTATATCCTCTGTGAGCAAGGTTATGAAAATGCAAGGAACTTATCATATACTCCACGCTTACAGTATTCAGTATATGTTTTCTAATTTATTTGAAGTAAAACGGTGTGTCAGAAACTCCAAATGAACTGCTGCTGAGTTGGAAAAAGATAGGACTTCAAGTAGCTGCTAGGATGCTTTGAAACACTGTACTAGCAATTGTTTGGTGGATAGTATGGAAGGAAACAAATCAAAGCTTCTTTGAAGGCTAAAATCCAAAACATAGATGTATATCCCTTTCTAGCTTTTTGGTTTAAGAACGAAAATGTAAGGGAAGCTGAGGGGATGAGAGATTTCCTCAGTTCATTTCATTTGCAGTAAATGAATTTCTTTTATAAGGATTCGATTACGATGAGTAAGTCAGGAGTAGCTGGGTGTAGTAAGCAGTAAATGAATTGGGTTTTGTTTCTTTGTAAATGCACATCATAAGCACCCCCTGGGTGCTACAGATAATTAATAAAAGTCCTTATTACGCATAAAAGAACTAGATTTTCTTTTATAACTGAGATTATATTCCCTTGAAGCCAAATTGCAGCGAGAATTCCTGCTTGTAATTTCAGGAATTATTTTTTGCTTGTAATTTCAGGAATTATTTTTTGCTTGTAACTTCAGGAAATGACTTTGGTACTTCCAGAAAGATGTACAAACTTTGCATGAAACAACAACCACTTCCAGGATTTGAACTATCATTTCACTCATTCTTCCATACTTCTCTCTGATGTAGTCAAACAAGAAAGTAGTCATACCAACCAACGGTGTTGTTGTCAACATTAACCTCCCGCAGGCATCTCATCATTTCAAGCTGATAATTAGCACCCTCAGCCTCGAGCTCCTCATCTTCTTCACGAACCTGAACAAAATATATGTTAAGAAGACATCTACACATTAATGAATCTGACACAACAAATTTATGCATAAATAATAAGCAAGAAATGCTAGAATCCAACATACCGGAAATGGAAAACAGTTAGTGACTTCTAAAACACTTCCAACATCCAATCCAAGAAGTTGTCCAGTGACCAAAGCTGGGGAAAACTCCTTGCAATGCTTTATTATCTTCAGAATGACCTGTTGCACACATACTTATAACATTAGAATACACTAATTCTACTATCGCGTCCGATCTTTCCAGGACCATCTGGTATCTAACTGTATGATACAACGTATCATGGGCAACCCTCTCGAAGCAGAAACGGGACAATAATTTAGGATGAGGGAGCATATTAAAGATAAAAGATACATTCCAACGAACTCATATAAGTCACCATATATATAAGAGACCTGGTTGAATACAGTAGCCAATGTGTTTCTTGCATCGTTTTCTTAACTAGATGAGATGATCCATAGCCGTTAGCCCTTTGAGTTGCTTCAATCACATAATTAACAAGTTTGTAACTCTCCAACATATTACAGTTCCTCCTAGAAGCCATTCAGTGGAGTGTGTTATGGAATAAATTAATTGAGCTCAACTCAGTTGTAAGTCAGAAACTATATTGCAATCCTCCATTAACAGAACTCATTAATATTAACTTTTTCTTTATGAAAAGGTAAAGAACTGATTAATATTAGCTTTAGATCAAAGGAAAAAGGAAAAGATGGCAATCCCCAGTCCAAATGAAAAGAAGGCAAGCTGGCGCACATCAGATAATTACTCAGTTTTACAACAATAAAAGTGTGAAAAAAGCAACGGCAATAACAACTACGCCTCAATCCAAAACCAGTTGGGTTAACTATATGAATCTTCCAAATCCATTCCGCTCCATTTCAACCTGTTTCATTCGAATACTTGATAATTTGTCTTTCTAGATGAATCAATCCCATCTAATGTAAGTGTACAAGCACCGGTACGTAATATAATTGAGCAACAAGATTATGCCTTATCCCAACTAGTTGGTATTAATATGGATTATTTACTTCCAATGTGTATGTTCTTCACCAAGTCCGCAAGTATTCTAGTCGTTTGTAATAAGCAACTTATATAAATAATCATGACCAAGACTTGAGGTTTTGAAACCTTCATTACAAAGACATTATCTCACAATATGGGAAGTAGCTTATAAGACGAGTAACAATACTTTGTTTTCTCGGCTATGGTGAGGAACCAACTAATTAACAAGCATCAAGTCTTACAAGTCTATCATTACATAACTGTACAAAAATCATGAGTTTTTTAATGACAGTGGTGTCCGGGTAAGCTTGTGCACCTCTGGACTATTTCATTAGGTACCTGCTACCTTCCACCAGCGGGTAGTTCTGTCCATCAAGGCTCGATCAGATGGGAAGAAATCACCTAGTATTTTTTTTGCTTCCGATGCGATTTGAACCTAAGACCATGATCTTTGATTCGATCGAAGTTTCATCTTTTAGCTTTAAAAAAAACACCTATTTAACAATCCTAATCCTCGGTACAATGCCGCTTAAGAATCTATACCGATTATAATCAAACAAATTCAAGTGCATAAACATGTAAATGATAGAAGTAGAGAAAGTACCAGTCCTTCAATCTGAACAACTCTCAGCGGCGGTGCAGCAACTTCTTCTTTAGCTGCAACTTGCAAAAATGACCTCGGTATTGCTACATTAACCAAATAAAAGGTCAATTGCCAAACTGATTCTGCACAAAATACTCATTATAGATGCAAAGTGAAAGAAATTTACATACCGTTTGCCATAATGAAACAGATTGAAAGATATCACTGTGCTGAAAGCGCTCGAAATGCTCCAGGGGTTTGTGCTGATGATGGTGGAGAGATTTGAGATGAAAGGATTTTTCTTTTTGGGCCGGCCCGTAGGGCCTTATAAATATTGGGCCTGATGAAGAACATATATTGGGCCAGATTGTTTAAAAAATATCTTTACACAAATAGCCGGTTACTATTTATTTTTTCTTGCCGGTGTACATAAATTATATACTGATTATACATGGTTATACACATATTATATATATATATTACACATATATATACATTTTCCGGCTAATTTTAATTTAACTAATTATGTGGGCTGCTATTTAGGTTAATTCTTCTTAAACAAATGTTTCTTTACAAGGGTCATGACTAATAGAAATGACACAGAGGTAGCCGCTCGTAATACCCCAATTTAAAATATATCAAGAATTTTCAAACTATTTAAAGTTTAAAAGTTTGAAATTTGAATTCAGCTCAAACTTCAGCGTTGGTTATGTTTGATTTTGAGGAGGTTGAACGTCAAAATAGGTTTTAAAATTGGTTACGTTTTAAATGATGCCCTTAAAATCAGTTATTTGTGCTATTCGCCTGGTAGTTATGGTGGATAGAAGCAACTATGAACCTCTGCTAAAACATGATAAGAATGTATATGATGTACTTTAATATGCAATCTCTTCTACTTTATATGATACGTTAAAGTATTAATAGGCAATTTCTTTGTTGCTTATTTAATGACTCGTTAAATGTACTATTATTACCGATTGATGTTACGAAATTAATTCTTGTAAAGATACTGTTTTGATATTAGAATCACTGTTTTTTTTCTTTTTCTTTTTCTTTTTCTTTTTCAACTTATCAATTGTCATATTTAAATAAAAGACACTAATAGCTAACAATCTCATAAAATATTATGGAACATGTATGGGTCAAAATCTGACCATATGATGGTTGTTCTTAAAAAGGACGACAAGGGGTCGACCAAGATGTAATCACGCTCGTGGGACGTGATAGCAAAAGAACACCTCGGCCATTGCCGAGGTCAAACCGTCAAAAAGCTTATATCGCAGAACGAGCGTAGTGTTTGGGCGAGCGATGAAGGATACAATCATCAGAAAGTACGCCGGTCAAAGACCATTGAATAAAAGGAAAAACTGTCAATATATACAGAGGGGGTAGAGCCCAGGAAAGGAGGGAGACTCTTCGATAGTCATCACTATGGAATCATCAAGAGGAATCTCTCGGTCATCAACAGTTCCATCTCTTTCCCTTCTTTGCTTCTACGGTTACGATACATTCTCGCCACAGATGTAAGCCTATCATTCACGTTTGATGTACAAAGATTGTCTTAAGAAATATTATACATTCTTATTCTTCTTCGATGTTTGCATTTAATGTATCTGGATCTAGAGTTAATTATGCTTGGCTAAGATTTACCTTCCATATCTCTGATAATTAGTTTAACAAAAGGGTTCAACACTTTTTTAGTTAAACAATTTAGCGCCGTCTGTGGGGATTTCTTAGCCAAATTTTTAGTTTCCTTTAGATCTAGAACCGACGAAATATCATTACCAGGCTGTCATGGCCTCCCCATCTCGATACGAACACCCACTCGAAAGAGCGGTAGGTAAACCTTCGAGACAACCGTACCAATTAGGTCAATATGCTACATAAAGTAGAAGTCAACCAATATCTAGGCAAAACCCACTTCTCGCTTGAAACAGTAGGTCTGACACGACGAAGGCACGTTCAAAATAGGATCCCGGTCATCCGGCATGACCACAGCCCCGTTCGACGTATTCACCCTATACATGGACCCGCACTCCCATCCCTTGGGAAGGGACAGCAGCTTGCTGCGTGGTTTTCTGAAAGAATGGCCACATCCTACCCTACTTTCACATTCCCCTACACACCAGATGGTCTATGAACAAAGTATGACATGTTTCTCTTGTTGTTGGCACAAACCGGACGAGATCGGGTCGGGACTCGATTCCATCCCTTCAGCGAGTAAGGCGAATCCAACCCATGCGAAGCCTAGACACTAGTAACGATGGAGCCGAACACGGCCGCCAAATCTAAAACCACCATCAGAGCACCAAGCGGAGCGAGTGACACTACAACATCACTCTTTCTTTCACTAACTCATTGGGTCGAGGTAACAAAAATTTTTTATTTTGGTTTATCTTCACTCCTTTGTTGGTTCAAACAGGAATACGAGCACTCGTGTGGGCAAGTAAGCAAAGGAGCATTCCAACTAGAAATGATGGCAGGAAAACTACTACAAAACAATTGGAATGTCGCCTATCTCAAGTACTTCGACTTCAGAAAAAGGACCCCCCTCAAGTCGTACTCTCATTCCCTCACCCGAGTTTTGTCCCAATTGGATCTCCTCGTGTAAGTGTCTAATGAGGCGACAAAGGAGACGTCTCAAAGCTCAAGTATGATTCGTCACCGCGCTCGTTGACTGCTTCCTCAGGCCAGACGAAGGGACTAGATACACGGAAACTCCTCCAATATATGTATGAAACAAACATGTATGGCATTCTCCAGCGAACGAAATAGAGCAACACTTTGTACTTTCCACCAGAGTATTCTCCAATGCGAGCAAAGTTAAGCAAACTGGGATTCACCCAGGAAACGCATAGTATTCTCCAATGCAAGCAAAGTTAAGCAAACTGGGACTCACCCAGGAAACGCATAGTATTCTCCAATGCGAGCAAAGTTAAGCAAACTAGGACTCACCCAGGAAAAGCATAGTATTCTCCAATGCGAGCAAAGTTAAGCTAACTGGGACTCACCCAGGAAACGCATAGTATTCTCCAATGCAAGCAATGTAAAGCGAACTGGGACTCGCCCAGGAGACACCCAATATTCCCCGATAAAAACAAAACTGAGCACGCCGGAACCACCCCAACATATGCGTAAACAGTACGGCGTTCCGTAAAGTTCTCCAAAAATCCAGGACAATGAGGCAGCGGGTTAACATTTCGACCTTAGCTCGAAATAACACCCCTACAGCCAACGGCCATCGCCAAAAGAAGAATTCGACCTCGCTCGAATTTTAATGGGTTAACATTTCCTTAGGTCGAATTAACACCCCTATGGCCAACGGCCATCGCCAAAAGAAGAATTCGACCTCGCTCAAATTTTAATGGGTTAACATTTCCTTAGGTCAAAATAACAACCCTACCGACAACGACCATCGCCAAAAGAAGAATTCGACCTCGCTCGAATTTTAATAGGTTATTTCCTTAGCTTGAAATAACACCCCTATGGCCAACGGCCATCGCCAAAAGAAGAATTCGACCTCGCTCGAATTTTAATAGGTTAACATTTCCTTAGCTCGAAATAATACCCCTACGGCTAACGACATCGCTGAAAGAAGAATTCAACCTCGCTCGAATTTTAATGGGTTAACCTTTCAACCTTAGCTCAAAATAACACCCCTGCGGCCAACTGCCATCGCTAAAGGAAGATTTCGACCTCGCTCGAATTACAACAGGTTATTATTTCAATCTTACTTAACACCTTTACGATCACTGTCCACCGTCGAAACAAGTACGTTATAATTCGACCTCACTTAGAGCAACACCTTCACGACCGCCGGCCACAAATCAAATAAAAGGGAAAAATTCGGGATCGTTCAAGCCAGATATCGACTTCGCCCAAAAGGGCGGATCCGAATTCAACTTTGTTCTAGTCAAGAATAATACTGCCTAGAGCGACAGATCAGAAATCGACCTTGCCCGAGCGTATGAGTCCGAAGCAACTTCATTCTGACTCACGCAACGAGACCCTACTCGATCCGGTCAAGGCCGGATTCCCAAATCAAAAAATTAGGGATTTGTCACACGAAAAATCCAAAGGTCCATGCCAAAACGAAAAGATGTAACAAGCAAGGGGAAAGGGAAAGAAAATCAAAGGATATACAAAGGCGAAGCAACTATTTTATTTATATATACGTGCGTAAAAGCCGCACCTTACAAAAAGGCCAAAACGGGCCCAAAACAAAAAAAGGGAGAAGACAAACATGAACAAAAAAAAAGGTACTGAAGCAGCAGCAACTGTTCACTCGGCGTCATCACCGCCATCCTCCCCATCATTGTCTTCGGGAAGCTCCTCCTCAGCATCAGCGTCCTCGCCGGCCTCCGGTGTCTCAGGGTCGTAGCCGCAGTTGACACGAGCCTCTCGTGCCTTCTCCCGAGCTTCTTCATAAGCAGCCTCAAAGACATTGCCCGCCTCCCACAAACCCTTGTATCTGTCTCGTTGGGCCTCGGTGTGGACCCAAAGCTCATGCAGGTGACAAGGAACGGCGGCAGAGGCAAATTCAACTTGAGCTAACAACTGCGCTCTCTCAGCCTCGAGCGCCACGACCCGATCCCCTAGGCTCGAAGCCTCCCGATTAATTTCGCCGATGCGCTCTTCGAGCCTCGCCTCCCTTAGTGTGGCCGTTGCCCTCTCGGACTCCTGCTCGGATTGAAGGACGCGGATAGTGTCCTCCAACGCTGCCGCTCTCGCTAAAGTCGACGCCCGAGCATTCTCAGCATCCTCCAACCCGGCTACTTTTCTCTCTAGCTCGGCTAATTTACCCATCCATTTTGCACTCAAAGCTTCACCCTGGCGGTATTCTGATCAAGTTCGGCTTGCAATGTGACACCTTCGCCTGAAGATGCTCGCACTCTGCGGCTACCCCCTTTCCCAACTCAAGCTCTTCGTCATTGGCATGAAGCAGCTCCTCGAGCTCGCTACACCTGCGAATGGACTGCATCAGCTCCTGATCTCTTTTCTCCAACTCCGCCCCAAGGGATTGGGTGCCAGTACCCGCCCTGAGCCGCTCATGCATCTCACGGCATCTAGTGCCATACCGCCGATACTTCTCAAGCATCGTCAGAAAGATCTCGGCCCTACGAGCACTCTCAATCTCCAACATGTAAAACTGAAAACAAAGAGAAAAAGATAGTCGATAAGGACCAAGATCAAACAAAAAAGCAACCAACAAAGGAAAACATACAGAGAGGGACTCACCCTTAGGACCATCGCGGCCACTCCATGTGACAGTTTGACGTCGCTGACG